TAATGCAAAACATGCAATAATGTCAATCTTCAGCGACGTATTGAACTATGGACGTAAATGTGTAACATCATGATATTTACACCAAATAGAGAACAAAGCTTCCCGAATCCGCAGTAACAAAATCATGATGTATCATATAGCCGTTCATACCTAAAAAGACGTACAGACAAACGCTGCTTCTAATCGCGACCACAAAATGGATACTGAAATTTCCACGTGGACCTACAACGTGTCTTCTTTCCTTCTTTTTTAAACATAAATATGTCAATTTATCATAAAATGGCCTTTCCCCTGCGCGATATTTCAAAAACATGTTTAGCCTACAAATGTCGTCTCATTTCAATGTCATGAAGGAGTATTCGGTCCAAATTCCTGGCAGTACTGTACCTTTTAAGTACTCATTTTAATTACTTTTAAAACTGTTGTTGGCATCAAAATGTCTCCTCTGTCAGTTTGAATAATTGAAATTGATAGGGATATCAGGAAATCCGGAAGTGAATGGTCTACTGGATCACAGATTTTATGCAGAGTATTTGGTAAATACACAAGTGTGTATGGTTGTTCACTAAAATTTCTGCTGGGATTACAATTTTATTACCTCATCAGGATCATTATCTTTAAACAAATATTTCATTTTGTTCGGCTTAACACAAACCTATTATGACACAAACTTGTGTAAATCGACTTAGCTAGATCTATAATGAATTTCCGCACATTAAATAGGTTTGTTTTAATAGCAACTTGCACTAAACACAGAAACTGGTCTGAACAAAAGATGGCCAATACGTACAATACTTTTATATCATGTTTGATTCAAAATAATGAATGTGTTAACATACAAATAAATCATAATTCGGTCATGCTGGTTGGGTTCGGGCCTTTTAGGGAGGTACCTCGTCCCTGTCCTGGACATATCCTACAGACTTAACCATGGTATTTACAACTTTTGAAGGTAACGAAAATTTCAAGACTGAAAAGTCCAGTTAAATTTGATACCAGCATTACCTTTTAAGAGTCGTTTTATAATCTTGAACATTTGATGTGACTAGTTTTATAACGGGGTTTTCCTTTTCAGGAGCTAATCTCTGTCTTACTCTGAAATAAATCAACAGCTCGAGAAATATTAGTTGCTTTTGGAAACTTACCAAATGGCTGACCTGTGAAACGGAAGTGACGTAATACAAGCCTGTACCTACAGAATCGTCTAGAATAGATAATCACAAGTTATTAAAAATATCAAATGTGATATTTGTAAAAGTTAAGCATGTACATTTGCACATAATTGATTTTTGTGTGAAAATGTAAAAGTATAAAGCGTACCATTTTAGTTGTTAAAAATAATTCTAATGTGTTAGACACTCCCCAGAAGTATCTATAAATACAATTCTATGCGTTCAGCACATCATTCACTGATCTAGGTGAATACATTCGTAGGGGACAAGACGTCTACATGAGAGTCTAAAATGCACACGATAGCAGGTTATATAACAGCATGGTGTTAAATCTACAGTAGCTGAAAGTACATACCTCACAAAATCCAAGTTTAACAACTAAATGAACAGGAAATATTTTATTGTTTGATCATCACCACAAAGCTACAAGAGAACGAAACAAAAAGAAGACCACAGTGGTTGATAACAAACAAAGGATAATTATCACAACTGTTTATCTATCTACATTAGACTACAACCATGTAACGTGTTTCACACAGTATAATATGGTTCATATTTTCAGGGTGGTAGACGCCCTTGGTTTAAATTACAACGTTTTGTTTACGACAACTGAGTCAAAATCACTTAAATTGTGATACCGATAACACTATTGTTAAAGTAATTGACAACAATTTCTGTTATGTAATATATATGCGATTCTTTTCTATGTATATTGTAGAGAACATTCCAAGCTTAGATTGGTTTCTAAAGATGTAATGCGAGTTATTGTCTTGGTGTGCTTTTTTCCATGTTAGCTCGTCAAAGGCTCATCCAGATGCGATATTTTCACAATCGTTTCACAATGTTCATATTTCTCAAAGATTCTATATACATTCTTCACGAGTATTGTCTACTAAAACTGAGTGTTACTAGGAGTGATATTTTATGATGTTTACCCAGGTCAGCAAGTTCACGTCAACCAGCATCGTTTATAGCGTTGTGTACCGCCTCGTCTCCTGGGAATTACCGGTGTGTAAATACAGAGGCCAACAAGTCTCCAGCACTTTAAGACACCTCATTCCGTGTTTTATACACGTCAAAATCCTACATTGCTTGTACAGTGATACGACTGGCGATCTTGTTTGACCATAGTTAGAAATCTATACAAACTTTGTATATGATACAGAGCCAAAGTCATCAGTAAAAAATGGCATACAAACCATCTTGTCAGGAAATACGTTTCGATTCCCGCGTTTTTAGATGTAAATTCAAGAATCGAGTGTCGTGTAGTGTTGATTTGGGCATCTATAGCGTTCAGTGTGGGTAAGTTTAAGCATACCCAGCTGTGAAAGGATCGGACAAGTACATATAAGACACCTGTATCAAAATAATAAGATAAACATGTATCTATCAACATTAGCTATTTACAAACAATGTTACTTACTGAGGTTTGTGTAAAAGTATTAACTAAGACAGTAACATTGTAATACATGTAATACATTGATAAACGTTTTAGAAACCTGAGAGATACTACTTTCGACATTTCTTTTCATTGTAACAAATCAATCTCAGCGTTTACACGATGTATAAGTAAAATTTCAGTAACAATAAGTAACACGTTTCCAACTTTCTGTCTCTTTAAACATTTCGATTTTAGTTTAATATACTTTTGTAAAACGACTCTAAAGTCCAAGCGTTTCTTACAAGGAGTATATCGGCATGAAATTGCGATCATACTAGACTTTAAAATGCTGTTCCCGGGAGGTGAGGTTTTACATTCGTTAGTTCAAGATTTGGACGCACCTGTTTACAATTTCTATCATTTCTGCAAAGTCGTTTACAACATTGTGACACAATCCTACAAACTTCACGTGCTCCATGATGTCTGTAGTCTTGTATATATATATGATCACCAATGACAAAGTTGAAAACTTTCGCCGCCGCTATGGCTGATGAATCCATGTCTTTAAAATACACCCACTTTAAATGTTTAACTGTGTAAATAAAACGTGTATCTTTACATTTTTATAGAAGTATAGACTAAATCAAAAGAGACATTTTCATGATCTTGTAAATTATTTCTTTATTGTCCAAGTTTTAAAACATGTGATGATTCTTTATTCATCAACGTGTCCTGATTTTGTCTGTCTGTAAAACAAATATAAAAACTGGTGTGCAAAGTCATAAGTCATTTGAGTAAATACTCTATCACGTGTAAGTCATGACTCGGACGAGTATATACTCTATCACGTATAAGTCATGACTCGGACGAGTATATGCTCTATCACGTGTAAGTCATTACTCGGACGAGTAAATGCTCTATCACGTGTAAGTCATTACTCGGACGAGTAAATACTCTATCACGTGTAAGTCATGACTCGGACGAGTAAATACTCTATCACGTGTAAGTCATTACTCGGACGAGTAAATACTCTATCACGTGTAAGTCATGACTCGGACGAGTAAATACTCTATCACGTGTAAGTCATGATTCGGACGAGAATATACTCTATCACGTGTAAGTCATGACTCTGACGAGTAAATTCTCTATCACGTGTAAGTCATGACTCGGACGAGTAAATTCTCTATCACGTGTAAGTCATGACTCGGACGAGTAAATACTCTATCACGTGTAAGTCATTACTCGGACGAGTAAATACTCTATCACGTGTAAGTCATGACTCGGACGAGTAAATACTCTATCACGTGTAAGTCATGATTCGGACGAGAATATACTCTATCACGTGTAAGTCATGACTCTGACGAGTAAATTCTCTATCACGTGTAAGTCATGACTCGGACGAGTAAATTCTCTATCACGTGTAAGTCATGACTCGGACGAGTAAATTCTCTATCACGTGTAAGTCATTACTCGGACGAGTAAATACTCTATCACGTGTAAGTCATGACTCGGACGAGTAAATACTCTATCACGTGTAAGTCATGACTCGGACGAGTATATACTCTATCACGTGTAATAACGATCTATCTGACTTGAATTCAAATAATGAAACACCATTGAATAAAACGATTACCGCCACAATCAGAACTTGACATCAACGTATTTGAAATTGTTCTTGACTGTGATGTCCGATATCATTAAACGAGTTGTGCGTGATTTTTACAGTGTGAAGCATTACCATCGCTTGGCGCATTAATGATTTAATCCTTTGAAACTGTGTATAACACAGCAGACTATATGGTTTCCTTTGTACAACAAAAGACACATAAGGGAATAGCACGATTTAGTGCAAATTTACACGTTCATATAAGGATTCGTTACTGATGTTGGGGAGGAATGGTGGGTGGAGGGGGCTGTGGGGGGAGGGGGTGGGAGAGGGGGCTGTGTGGGTGGAAGTATGGGTGAGAGGTCGTTTGGGAAGCAGAGCTTCAATCTTAACTTGATGTGGTTACTGAGGTAAATTCAAGGAAAAGTCAAGATCTAGATGTGGAGATGCACTAAACTCATAGTTCAGTAAATAAAGTCATAAATTTGGTGATTTTAGTAGACCGTACATATGTGCATTTATTTTTCGCCAGTGTGTTAAGGTACGTCCATGTTGTCAGTGGCGCTGACACACAAATATGTGAATAAACGTGAAAATATATAAACTGTCCTCCACACTTCTGAAACATAACACATTAAAATAAATTAGATATTTGTTCTGTTTGGTGTTTATTAACCACCATCCACATGACGCGTGTGTCTGAAACACATTTATACGGTGTTATTTACATATTAATTAAACATAAGAATGATTCAAACATTTTTAATGTATTTGGTGCTTATTTAAACCAGGTGGACTTTGTCCAAATTGGACTACACCGACATCAACAAGTCCTACAACAACAGACGTTACGGATACAACCGACCCTACCAGCCCAACAGAACCCCCAACGATAACTGATGTACGTCTACCTACTGCTCTTATTCCATATCATTATGACGTCACATTGAGACCAGAACTCTACAACGGATTACCGGAAACATTCACTTTTAACGGATCTGTTCATATATTTCTAAATTGCATTAACGCGACCAGGAACATCACAGTGCATATTGGTACTCAGAATTTAACCCGAGTCCCTACAGTTCAGCTGGTCAACAAGCCGGGTGGAAGGGCGCCAGATGTGACAGGTACAGCGAGAGATTATGAACGAGAATTTCTTATCATTATGATGGACACAGAATTGGTTGCTGGACAACAATACTCTCTGACCCTATATTTTGACGACAATTTAACTGACAGCCTTATTGGAATGTACCTGAGTTCCTACCAAAGTGAAACAGCAAATGAAACAATGTAAGCAATATGTTATAACTATTGTTGTTCAAATGCTTCACTGTTCATAGACAATGTACCACACAATTCTATTATAAAATAAAGATCATTTCGCTCAGCCATACCAGAGAAGAAAATTAGCCATGTGCTATTTGTAAAAGCCTTACGTTCATGACACTTGTAAACATTATGTAGTGAAATTAGTTCATGTTTCATGACCGTAATTTTAGTAAAGTTAGTTAATTCAGTAGGTTTCCGGTACGTGGAAATAACATAACTAAATCTACAGTATTGTCATAGACCAGCTCATACTTCAATTATTATTTGATTTAATTACCAGATATCTCGCTGTCACACAGTTCCAGCACACCTTCGCTAGGAATGCGTTCCCGTGCTTTGACGAGCCAGCGTTAAAAGCGACATTCAGCATTACCCTAGAAAGACAACCCCAGATATTTACATTATCTAACATGCCTCTTAACAGAACAGTGACACTGTAAGCACTCTTTGGTTATTTACAGTTGTTATTCGTTATATATCAGTAAATTTCTCTTCGTATCCGGTCTATCTCCTGGTAAAATAGTAGTTGCGTTTACCAATAACGACATAGTCTGGCTATTTCTCAATGTTTCACAAGCCTACAAAAAGCTGACAAAATCTCAGTTACTACCTTCTATCAAAAAAGATTTATCTCTCTTCCTTTTGATATCTGTAAACATGGATCCTTTCTCTGTTGCAGTGATGATGGCTACAAGGCTGATGTATATGATAAATCCGTAGTCATGTCCACTTACCTGGTGGCTTTTACATTTTGTAACTTTCTGAACGTCACGAACAAGACGTCAAACGGCGTGGAGGTAACCTCTCTACAATAAATACTCTCTTTCATAAAAATATCACATAAATTATCCTTGGTATATGATATTGTGTGATATTACAATGCTTCAATATAACTGTCCCTATTACAAGATATCCCCGTTAGTCAGTGATAATACACATACAATATTTCTGGGCACTACAAATGTGTAATTTAACGTATTGCGAGGTAAGATTTCGGTAAGGAAAATGACGCCGCACTCTCACAGATTGCAATGTGACGTAGATATAAAGCCAAAATTACTTTTAGTTAGATGTGGAAACGCCCTTTATCTACAATAGTTACTTGAATGATTCAACTTGTGATAAAGAAAATCTTGAATTGGTTTTCATTTGACATATGACTCATGAAACTTTCATGAACTTTTTAACTCGTTTCATAAATCACATATTAAATGGAAACTTCCGATCATAACTTGTGACCAGTGTAATAACGCCCAATACTTCTTACTCTTTTTATTACACGGGTGTTTTATAACTGTATGACTGTGATTGACGGAAGGCTAGCATTGTTTCCAGGCTGTGATTGGCTGAAGGCTAACATTGTTTCCAGGCTGTGATTGGCTGAAGGCTAACATTGTTTCCAGACTGTGATTGGCTGAAGGCTAACATTGTTTCCAGACTGTGATTGGCTGAAGGCTAACATTGTTTCCAGGCTGTGATTGGCTGAAGGCTAACATTATTTCCAGACTGTGATTGGCTGAAGGCTAACATTGTTTCCAGACTGTGATTGGCTGAAGGCTAACATTGTTTCCAGGCTGTGATTGGCTGAAGGCTAACATTGTTTCCAGACTGTGATTGGCTGAAGGCTAACATTGTTTCCAGACTGTGATTGGCTGAAGGCTAACATTGTTTCCAGACTGTGATTGGCGGAAGGCTAACATTGTTTCCAAACTGTGATTGGCGGAAGGCTAACATTGTTTCCATCGTAACGTTACAACTTCCTGGCGTCAAATACATTGTGGCGTCACAAAAAAAAATAAATAGCGTGAGACTATGTAGATTTATCAGACTAAAAAATTATTTTATGAATATTTGTTAATGTATCTAAGTTATGTGATAAACAGAACATTACATTTGTTTCCATTTCATATGAGATTTATCGAACTCGTTACTTTTCATGGTACCTCGCCTCTGAAAAAAATTAAAGACTCCTTTTATAGTTCTCATTTGTATGGAAATTTATGTCCTTACCAGTATCTATATGTTCAGAGATATTCAATAAATTATAGTTTACACTGAAGATAGACAAAATCACCTACTCCAGAACGGTTACGGCAGAGGACAACTACCATTCAACACCGACCTTTATCTTAAAAAAAACCCTGTTTCACAAGAACTGCTAACGCACATAGAAATAAATGAATATGATAATATTAAACGAACAATTCACGTTAACTGTTAGTAATGTGCTTGTATACAGCTTAATATTTCAGTGATATTAACATATATTTTATTTTCAGTTCGGAGTCTACTCCCGACCAGAATATATCAATCAAACTGCGTTTGCTTTAGAGAAAGGAAGCGAAATGCTGGATGCTTTTGAGAAATACTTCAACATTTCATTCACTCTTCCAAAAGTCGGTAGGTGTTGAATTCAGGTTCTGAGAATAATACATATTTTATATCTTAATATATATATATGTGTGTAAAAATATTTGCATGCTGGCTTTTTTTTGAAAGGAAAAAATACGTTTTATTATAAGACAACGGGACATTCACAGTAACCGATTCAGTGATATATATAATTGTTTTCAATGTATGCATATCGATGATGAAGAGATCCTTTTCCCACGTAAAGTATTGTACCATGTCAATGTGCATATTCCATACATTAAGATGTGTTGATTTCGCAGACAACATAGCACTACCTGACTTTTACTACGGCGCCATGGAGAACTGGGGGTTGGTGACGTACAGGGAATTCTACCTTCTGTACGAGGAGGGTATGTCGACAACCAGGAACCTGGAGTTAATCGCCGAAATCATTGCTCACGAACTCGCTCATATGGTGAGTACGTTCTCAACACTTGTTAATTATGAAGGATACTACCTAATAATTACTTATATTTACTGTGGATAAATGTCACATAAGTAATTCCCATTTGGATGACGGTTTCGATGTATTAAGTGATAAAAGAATACCAGATTTAATATTCCACAACTTCCTGTTCACAACAAAATGTACAGCAGAAAAAATACCAAAAATAGCCATGAATACATTTGATAAATGCGGAGTGATATCTTGTTTTTCAAAACGACAAATCATTTTCATACGGGAGTTATATTATATATATATTTATAGATATTTGTGATCACATTTCCTGTATTAATAGATACAATGGAGAAGTTATACAGGTTAAGATCATTTTGTCTTTCAGTGGTTTGGTAATCTGGTTTCTCCACAGTGGTGGGATGACTTATGGCTAAACGAAGGATTTGCTACCTTTCTCTCCTATCTTGGAATGGACATGGTACTTCCTGAGTGGAAAATGGAAAGTATTGTCTCTAAACATAACCCAGATAATATAACGTCATAACATCCTGTGCACTAAATGCCTATTAAATACCAAACATCGTCGTTTGTGTTTTCTATGCCACACACAAAGACGTATTTGTCTGTGTGAGACTATGCTGATGCACGTTTTGCTTTCAATTGTTCTGTGTGAAACATATGTGTACATGATGATATATATATATATAATCAAAATACCTACATATTAACAAAACCGTAATCCAAAATTCTAGATTTAACGAAAGCGAAACATGAATAAAAGACTGATTAACACGGATATCTCTGGAAATGTACCGAAAGAGAATACAACCTTATAATCCATCAACGTAAACGTTTATGGTCCAGGAACCGTTTTATTCATGGTCAGTCCAACATCGCGTTCTCTTATGAAAAACAAGGATAATAAATACTGCTGTGGTGTTGGTTTAAGTTATTCAAAACGATCTTTGTGCTACAGATGGATCTTATCACCACCTATGAGGTCCAGGGGGTGATGGAAGCCGATAGTCTTGAAACTACGGTACCAATATATCGCATGGCTTACACACCTACTCAGATAGAGGACCTGTTTGATATCATTACATACTCAAAGGTAGGTTGATAGGGAAGAAAATTCTTCATGAATTGATGAAGGATGACAACTGTTGCAAACAAATATGAGAAATAAAACATTCTGATATTCTTATCTACCACAGTTGCAGATCAAGATTTACAAATGAAAAAAATCGAAAAATTGAATAACAATTAAGCTTTTAAACTTTATCAATTATGATTGTTATGTTCTATTGTATGTTGTATATCAATATGTTCTTACAGGGTGCCTCGGTGATCCGAATGATGTGGTTTTTCTTGGGAGAAGAAACGTTTCGGCAAGGCTTAGAGGTGAGAAAATGTGGTTAGTTAAGGATAAGGTGAATGTCTGGGATATTGAATATATTTGTACATCCCAACAAACCTGTATTGCACGTTTATTAATATATATAACGACACTCGACTAATTATGTTGTGAGTGTAAAAGCTGATATTTTTCCTTTTCAGGGCTACTTAAAGGAGCAGGAGTTTGGGAACGTTGCACACGATGACTTATGGAGATCCTTACAGACAGTAAATGAAAATATATTCGTCTCTTAATAAATACACTGTGATCAAAGTGTTATCAATTAAGTTCAAACTACTTTTTGTCTATTCTTACAATTACGAAGCTATTCACAATCCGAGAGATTGTCAACAACAGAATATACAATATTAATATCTGATTGATTTCCCAGTATTCAGGAACACGTCTTATAATTTTCTTGGAATGCTCTATGGCAACCGCTTCTCGTGATTTATGGCGATTCCTGCCCCTATATTATTACAGAAACAGCTGCATTAGTAATGTTGTTTAGAAAAAAAAACATTTGTTATTATGTGTTGCTTGTTCGCAGCAAGCACTTGCTGACGGTAGAACAGGTTTTGATGTGAAAACGGTGATGGATTCGTGGATCAAACAAAAGAACTTCCCTGTAGTGAACGTAACAAGACATGCCAGTCAGTTAAAACTCACACAGCAACGTTTCCTGCTCAGAGTAGATAACACAACGGATTCAACGGGGTATGTTTTCTTATAAAAATTGTATTGCAACCAAATATGTGTATGCTGAAGTATTACTTAAATTACGATAACATATTGTGCTCTTAGCAAATCGTGACCAGTTTGTAAACATAATTATTTTGAATTGTTTAAACTTAAGTGGCAAGTGAGGAAAATCATACTTGGTCGAAAAAAATGTCAAAATCTAGAAGGAGAGGAGCACAGCACATGTTCTATAAAACAACAAATTTCAAAATTTCAGATATTAATTGCTTCATAATAGAACATGCATTTTCGATATAAACAAATATGACCTTAAAACACATTTATATAAGATTCAATATCGGTGTGTGGGTGTATATATATGTCACAGGTACGGTTGGGAGATACCATTTACTTACACTACTAGTCAGGAGATGGATTTTAACAAAACCGCTGATGACGTTAAATGGATAAGGCGTAACGAGTCTGGTAAGAATAGCAATCCAAAACCAAAGTAATAATAACATATTCCAGTTCTTTACCTGGTCGTTTGAGAAATTTTACAGGCTACCTACACTTACTACGTAACGTTACGTTCAATGTTACCTCTGTTGTTGTCTAAATTATCTAAATCTATCTACGTTAATTAAAAACACCTAAATATGTCTCCATTATTAAGATAATGGAACTTAATTAATTTCAGTTTTTATCATTGCATCAGTTTTCCCTCACTGACTCGGATTAACATATTATTCAATGTGTCAATCAATTTTTGAGACTAGAATTTATTTCTAGAAACTACAATTTGTTTTGACGCCACCAACATGTCAGATGTTGACTGGGTGATTGGTAATATACAACAGTATGGATACTATCGGATCAATTACGACAAGGCCAACTGGAGGGCATTAATTCAGCAACTCAAAGACAATCACCAAGTAAGTGCAGTTCTATCAATAGGTATGTCAGCAGTTATATTAAATAATTACACAATAACGTTGTTTACATCCTTTTCTTTAATCTTTTCACGGTCCCAATAAAATCTGTTCCATTTGAGGTTAAGCATATGTATTATAGGGTAATCGCTATACTTACTATGATCAATTATTGAGTAAATATTCATGATTTACCATATATTTGATAGAAAATCCACGTCGTCAACAGAGGCGCGTTAATCAGTGACGCTTGGGCACTCGCTAAGTAAGTACGCCAGTTGATATCATTTTGATGTTTGACTACAAAAATAATTCTGCCCTCTTTTATTTTCACAATCTTTTGTGTTCACCCAGTAATATTTTTAATCATGTTTTTTCTATACTATTGTCTGTTATGCAATGTTATGTTATGTTTTTTAATCATGCTTGTATTTGAACCGTGTTGTGTTTCTTTCCTATTTCATTTCGTGCATCAATTGTTCCTTGGTAGACCATTATGTATCTTGATCTTCTGAATTTTCTTCGGGTGACTGAGGCTTAACTCGAGTTCTGTACTCAAACTGATCAAGCGATCTTATGATATTTGGTTTATATTTGCAACCATATCCACCAGAAAAGCGTTGACCATGCTTATGTAACTCATTTACTCATTGTCGATATGTTTACAGTGAACTCTAAAACTTGTGCTCATTTACTCATTGTCGATATGTTTACAGTGAACTCTAAAACTTGTGCTCATTTACTCATTGTCGATATGTTTACAGTGAACTCTAAAACTTGTGCTCATTTACTCATTGTCGATATGTTTACAGTGAACTCTAAAACTTGTGCTCATTTACTCATTGTCGATATGTTTACAGTGAACTCTAAAACTTGTGCTCATTTACTCATTGTCGATATGTTTACAGTAAACTCTAAAACTTGTGCTCATTTACTCATTGTCGATATGTTTACAGTAAACTCTAAAACTTGTGCTCATTTACTCATTGTCGATATGCTTACAGTAAACTAACTCAATGTCTCCTATTCCAGCGCAGGGCTGAACGAGATGGAGATTGCCTGGGACATGCTGCTCTATCTCCGTAATGAGGAAGAATACATACCTTGGAGTGTCTCAGTCCGGGAGCTCGAGTACGTGGATCTGATGTTGACTGGCCGAGCAGCGTATGGAAATTTCGAGGTCTGTAATCTCTGTGTAAGATAAAAAGATACTATTTTATACTCCATTTTTATTGCTGAACGCTTTTGTTTTAATTTCATTGTAATACACGTCTTTGTTCAGTATATATTACTTGTAATTGACCCTTCACATAATGGACCTAAATCGTGTTACATGATTTATTCGAAAAAAATATTTAAAGGGATGTAAGTTATTATTCTTACATTTTCTAACCAAAGCGTTTCATGGTTCGACAAATTGAAGGCCGTCCACTCAACGTCTCCGTCAAAGATGACAGACCAGTCCAAGAAAGGTAAGTTGTGGAAATATAACCATATGTACTAGACAACAGTACTACATACAAAGTAGTAACAGAAATTCATAAATCAACAAAGGCGGAAACTCCTATCTGTAAGTTAGATACAAACATTGTTTCGATCTGTTGGTACATTTACGTCTCCAAAGTAATCAACAGACTGAAACTCAGAAAATGATCAAATCATGTTTAAAAAAGAAAGAAGATTAATGTATCTATGAATCCCTTCCTAAGTTACAATATTTAAACTTTAAACCAATCATTGATATACATCAGCAACATTGTCACGTTAAATCGGTGATTTGATATTTTCAGATCACTCAGCAGTCTGATATTCAGACTTGCCTGTAAACATCACGTAACAGACTGCATACAATGGTCAGTGGAAATGTTCCGTGCCTGGATGACCACGGGTGAACTGTAAGAATTCAACCTTCACCTTGCTTATTTGTGTTTTATTGACGTATAACCCTTTTTCTAGTTCTAAACATGGAAACCTTTATAAAAGTTAGGGATGGTGCATTTTGTCAAAATATTGTGATAGAGCAAATGGTTTCGCCCATAACTTTTCCTAATTATGTTAACTAACGCTTTTAAAACCACAGAATTCCTCCGGACATCAAAGGTACAGTGATGTGTACGGCGGTCCGAGAAGGCGGTGAGGATGAATGGAAGTATGTATACAAACGGTACCACAACGGCCCGGTGTCAGAGTCGTCCCTCTCTCTGGCTGCCATGGGCTGCTCATCCCGGCCTTGGATCATCAATAGGTAGGTTCGAGTCAAGTTTACTTTCCGAGAGCAATGTTGCTGCATTCCACATATTTATGCAACATAAAACATTTACTCTACCTGTATATGAAGCTAGATGTGTTCGATATTCATTATTTAGTTATTTTTAACCGTTATCTCATTTGAAAATGTGACATCACTTACTCATTAAGACTTTAACTGAATATTTTGGGGTTAGTGCACCTTCTGGATTTTGACATTCATTTCGACCAGTTTTGATTTTTCTCCATAGACCTCAAATTTTATAACTTTTGCATCATTGGCCAGTCCTAAAAGGACGAAACAGCTGCATGATGCAGCATCATTAACGAGTCATAAAAGGACGAAACAGCTGCATGATGCAGCATCATTAACGAGTCCTAGAAGGACGAAACAGCTGCATGATGCAGCATCATTAACGAGTCCTAAAAGGACGAAACAGCTGTATGATGTAGCATCACTGACGAGTCCTAGAAGGAAGAAACAGCTGTATGATGTAGCATCACTGACGAGTCCTAAAAGGACGAAACAGCTGTATGATGTAGCATCACTGACGAGTCCTAGAAGGACGAAACAGCTGTATGATGTAGCATCACTGACGAGTCCTAAAAGGACGAAACAGCTGTATGATGTAGCATCACTGACGAGTCCTAAAAGGACGAAACAGCTGTATGATGTAGCATCACTGACGAGTCCTAGAAGGAAGAAACAGCTGTATGATGTAGCATCACTGACGAGTCCTAAAAGGACGAAACAGCTGTATGATGTAGCATCACTGACGAGTCCTAAAAGGACGAAACAGCTGTATGATGTAGCATCACTGACGAGTCCTAAAAGGACGAAACAGCTGTATGATGTAGCATCACTGACGAGTCCTAAAAGGACGAAACAGCTGTATGATGTAGCATCACTGACGAGTCCTAAAAGGACGAAACAGCTGTATGATGCAGCATCATTAACGAGTCCTAAAAGGACGAAACAGCTGTATTATGTAGCATCACTGACGAGTCCTAAAAGGACGAAACAGCTGTATGATGCAGCATCATTGACGAGTCCTAAAAGGACGAAACAGCTGTATTATGTAGCATCACTGACGAGTCCTAAAAGGACGAAACAGCTGTATGATGTAGCATCACTGACGAGTCCTAAAGGGACGAAACAGCTGTATGATGTAGCATCACTGACAATTCCTACAAGGACGAAACAGCTGCCTGCTGCAGTTTTATTCATTGTTTGTTTCCACTGTACCGAACTCTGAATTTTTATTAAAATGTGCTTTTCACTTGTGTGTCTTTGTAAATCTTTGACTGACCAAACTTTCATGACGAAAGATGTCGATGTAGCAGAAGACACATGCTTCTTTCTTCTTTCCTTTGTTTATGTTTTTCCTTCATTTCAACAATTTTGAATTTGAATTCATTTTTGGCAACATTACGGCTTCTCCTTGTTTTCCATGTAAAAGTAATACAATCAGGATTCAGTAATCACAAAATCATAATAGATAAATTTGACTTCGTTATTAAATCATGAAACATCGCTTAAGTATATTTGTGACTGGCAGATTTTCTCAGCATCATAATATAATTCATAACTTTTTCCCGATTATCTTGAAATTGAACTTCGATATTCTGAAACCAATCAAATAATTGTTTAGAGTAAATCATCTCATATGTAGCAATTGTGTAGTTGTTTAGGAAGGTAATTTATTTATTTTGTTTTGTTTTGTTTGTTTGATTTTTTTTAAAATGAGTGGATTCTTGTTATCTCGGAGAAGTTAAACATTTCAGGTACTTAGAATATACACTTCGTCCTGATCAGATCCGGAAACAAGATGTTCGAAATGCTATTCTCTCGGTGATTAATAACCCAGTAACGTTCAATATGGGCTGGAAGTTCCTCATGATGAACTGGAGACGCATGGTTCTTAAGTAAGTATACTGACTAATGCTTTCAAAAACAACTCAAATAAAAAACCTACTGCTCATCAATCACTACCAACGTAACACCGACTGATCACCAATCACGACCTAAATAACATCGAATTATCACCAATCACGACCCAAGTAACACCGACTGATCGCCAATCACGACCCAAGTAACATTGACTAATCACCAATCACGACCCGATTAACATAGACAAATTACCAATCACGACCCAAGTAACACCGACTGATCACCAATCACGACCCACGTAACACCGACTGATCACCAATCACGACCCAAGTAACATCGACAGATCACCAATCACGACCAAAGTAACACCGACTGATCGCCAATCACAACCCGAGTAACATCGACAGATCACCAATCACGACCCAAGTAACACCGTCCGATCACCAATCACGACCAAAGTAACATCGACAGATCACCAATCACGACCCAAGTAACACCGACTGATCACCAATCACGACCAAAGTAACACCGACTGATCGCCAATCACAACTCGAGTAACATCGACAGATCACCAATCACGACCCAAGTAACATCGGCTGATCACCAATCACGACCCACGTAACATCGAATTATCACCAATCACGACCCACGTAACACTGAATGATCACCAATCACGACGCGAATAACATCGACTGATCACCAATCACGACCCCCGAGTAACATCGAATGGTCACCAATCACGATCCACGTAACATCAAATTATCACCAATCACGACGCGAATAACATCGACTGATCACCAATCACGACCCGAGTAACACCGACTGATCGCCAATCACGACACGAGTAACATCGACAGATTGCCAATCACGACCAAAGTAACACCGACTGATCGCCAATCACAACCCGAGTAACACCGATCACCATCACGACCCGAGTAACATCGACTAATCACCAATCACGACCAAAGTAACACCGACTGATCACCAATCACGACCCAAGTAACATCGGCTGATCACCAATCACGACGAAAGTAACACCGACTGATCACCAATCACGACACAAGTAACACTGACTGATCACCAATCACCACCAAAGTAACACCGACTGATCACCAATCACGACACAAGTAACACCGACTGATCACCAATCACCACCAAAGTAACACCGACTGATCGACAATCACGACCCGAGTAACATCGACAGATTGCCAATCACGACCCAAGTAACACCGACTGATCACCAATCACGACCCACGTAACACAGACTGATCACCAATCACGACCACGTAACACCGACTGATCGCCAATCACCACCCAAGTAACATTGACTGATCACCAATCACGACTTAATTAACATCGACAGATCACCAATCACGACCCATGTAATATCGAATTATCACCAGTCACGACCCACGTAACACCGACTGATCACCAATCACGACCCAAGTAACATCGAATTATCACCAATCACGACGCGAATAACACCGACTGATCACCAATCACGACACAAGTAACACTGACTGTTCACCAATCACGACCCACGTAACACCGACTGATCACCAATCACAACCCATGTTACATCGACTAATCACCAATCACGACCAAAGTAACACCGACTGATCACCAATCACGACACAAGTAACACCGACTGATCACCAATCACCACCAAAGTAACACCGACTGATCACCAATCACGACCCGAGTAACATCGACAGATTGCCAATCACGACCCACGTAACACAGACTGATCACCAATCACGACCAAAGTAACACCGACTGATCACCAATCACGACACAAGTAACACCGACTGATCACCAGTCACAACCAAAGTAACACCGACTGATCGCCAATCACGACCCACGTAGCACAGACTGATCACCAATCACGACCACGTAACACCGACTGATCACCAATCACGACCTGAATAACACCGACTGATCACCAATCACGACACAAGTAACACCAACTGATCACCAATCACCACCAAAGTAACACCGACTGATCGCCAATCACGACCCGAGTAACATCGACAGATTGCCAATCACGACCCAAGTAACACCGACTGATCACCAATCACGACCCACGTAACACAGACTGATCACCAATCACGACCACGTAACACCGACTGATCACCAATCACGACCCACGTAACATCGAATTATCACAAATCACGACGCGAATAACACCGACTGATCACCAATCACGACCCAAGTAACACCGACTGATCACCAATCACGACACAAGTAACACCGACTGATCACCAATCACGGCCCGAGTAACACTGACTGATCACCAATAACGACACACGTAACACCGACTGATCACAAAGCACGACCCAAGTAACACTGACTGATCACCAATCACGACCCACGTAACACCGACTGATCACCAATCACGACCCACGTAACACCGACTGATCACCAATCACGACCAAAGTAACACCGACTGATCACCAATCACGACCCAAGTAACATTGACTAATCACCAATCACGACCCAATTAACATTGACTGATCACCAATCACGACACAAGTAACACCGACTGATCACCAATCACCACCAAAGTAACACCGACTGATCACCAATCACGACCCGAGTAACATCGACAGATTGCCAATCACGACCCAAGTAACACCGAATGATCACCAATCACGACCCACGTAACACAGACTGATCACCAATCACGACCAAAGTAACACCGACTGATCACCAATCACGACACAAGTAACACCGACTGATCACCAGTCACAGCCAAGGTAACACCGACTGATCGCCAATCACGACCCACGTAGCAGAGACTGATCACCAATCACGACTACGTAACACCGACTGATCACCAATCACGACCTGAATAACATCGACTGATCACCAATCACGACACAAGTAACATCGACTGATCACCAATCACGACCCACGTAACATCGAATTATCACAAATCACGACGCGAATAACACCGACTGATCACCAATCACGACCCAAGTAACACCGACTGATCACCAATCACGACACAAGTAACACCGACTGATCACCAATCACGGCCCGAGTAACACTGACTGATCACCAATAACGACACACGTAACACCGACTGATCACAAAGCACGACCCAAGTAACACTGACTGATCACCAATCACGACCCACGTAACACCGACTGATCACCAATCACGACCCACGTTACACCGACTGATCACCAATCACGACCAAAGTAACACCGACTGATCACCAATCACGACCCAAGTAACATTGACTAATCACCAATCACGACCCAATTAACATTGACTGATCACCAATCACGACCCAAGTAACATCGGCTGATCACCAATCACGACCAAAGTAACACCGACTGATCACCAATCACGACACAAGTAACACCGACTGATCACCAATCACCACCAAAGTAACACCGACTGATCACCAATCACGACCCGAGTAACATCGACAGATTGCCAATCACGACCCAAGTAACACCGAATGATCACCAATCACGACCCACGTAACACAGACTGATCACCAATCACGACCAAAGTAACACCGACTGATCACCAGTCACAGCCAAAGTAACACCGACTGATCGCCAATCACGACCCACGTAGCACAGACTGATCACCAATCACGACTACGTAACACCGACTGATCACCAATCACGACCTGAATAACATCGACTGATCACCAATCACGACACAAGTAACATCGACTGATCACCAATCACGACCCACGTTACATCGAATTATCACCAATCACGACACAAGTAACATCGACTGATCACCAATCACGACCCACGTTACATCGAATTATCACCAATCAAGACCCACGTAACATCGACAGATTGCATATCACGACCCAAGTAACACCGACTGATCACCAATAACGACCTGAATAACATCGACTGATCACCAATCACGACACAAGTAACATCGACTGATCACCAATCACCACCCACGTAACATCGAATTATCACCAATCACGACGCGAATAACACCGACTGATCACCAATCACGACCCGAGTAACATCGACTAATCACCAATCACGACCCAATTAACATTGACTGATCACCAATCACGACCAAAGTAACATTGACTGATCGCCAATTACGGACCAATTAACATCGACTGATCACCAATCACGACCCGAGTAACATCGACAGATCACCAATCACGACCAAAGTAACACCGACTGATCGCCAATCACAACCCGAGTAACATCGACAGATCACCAATCACGACACCTGAGTAACATCGAATGGTCACCAATCACGACCCAAGTAACACCGACTGATCACCAATCACGACCCAATTAACATCGACTAATCACCAATCACGACCCAATTAACATTGACTGATCACCAATCACGACCAAAGTAACATTGACTAATCACCAATCACGACCCAATTAACATTGACTGATCACCAATCACGACCAAAGTAACATTGACTAATCACCAATCACGACCCAATTAACATTGACTGATCACCAATTACGGACCAAGTAACACCGACTGATCACCAATCACGACCCAATTAACATTGACTGATCACCAATCACGACCCAATTAACATTGACTGATCACCAATCACGACCCAATTAACATTGACTGATCACCAATCACGACCCAATTAACATTGACTGATCACCAATCACGACCCAATTAACATTGACTGATCACCAATCACGACCAAAGTAACATTGACTGATCACCAATCACGACCCAATTAACATTGACTAATCACCAATCACGACCCGAGTAACATTGACTGATCACCAATCACGACCCAATTAACATTGACTGATCACCAATCACGACCCGAGTAACATCGACAGATCACCAATCACGACCCAATTAACATTGACTGATCACCAATCACATTGACTGATCACCAATCACGACCCAATTAACATTGACTGATCACCAATCACGACCAAAGTAACATTGACTGATCACCAATCACCAATCACGACTGAAGTAACACTGACTGATCACCAATCACGACCCACATTGACTGATCCCAATCACGACCACGAGTTCTCCCACTGTATATGGGGACCAAATTACCATGTTTTTATATTAAAGCATTTTTCAACTTACATGAGTCGCAAAGTTTTGTCCTCTTGGTAATATGTTAACATCATAAAGTGGATAAAAACATAATTGGTCACAAATACTTGTTTCAATCATTAAAAATATGTATTCGCACAGAAAACATGATGCCGATTGCAATTAATTATATGTAGGTCACATGATAAAGAGAGCGACATGATATGTATATTGCATCGAAGAAGCTGTTTATCATGACATTTATTGATTTTGGTGTTATTTAGTGATGAAGTTAACGGGAGCCATCTGAACACCATCCTGCTACAAGTTGCACAGCGCATGTTTACAGACTTCGAACTTAGTCAAGTATGTGTTTAAACGACTTCGGATCGAGTACTGATTTATCGATCCCATCGTTCTTTGTATATAAGATCTTGTAAGTAATGAATCGTCATAAAAAACTCAAACTTATTATGATACCAACATTAAACTGTACGTTAGACTGTCACATGGGTTTTACATATGCCCTCCATTATAGGGTGTTAAACAAGTCATTTGAATAACTCTCAGTTGATCTAAATCAAATAAACACGAAATTAAAAACACATTAGATATAGACTTTTATGTCTCTTTACATAGCATCAGCAGTAACATCAAACACGTAATTAAAAACACTTTTAAGTCTACCTTCTTAAGTTTGACGCGAAGTTATCTGCAAAGTTAATAGCGGTAAGACGCATAATACAAGGTTACAATTCATAAACAAACACAATACAAGGTTAAGACATTACTAGTCTTTATCAAACACAATACAAGGTTAAGACATTACTAGTCTTTATCAAACACAATACAAGGTTAAGACATTACTAGTCTTTATCAAACACAATACAAGGTTAAGACATTACTAGTATTTATCAAACACAATACAAGGTTAAGACATTACTAGTCTTTATCAAACACAATACAAGGTTAAGACATTACTAGTCTTTATCAAACACAATACAAGGTTAAGACATTACTAGTCTTTATCAAACACAATACAAGGTTAAGACATTACTAGTCTTTATCAAACACAATACAAGGTTAAGACATTACTAGTCTTTATCAAACACAATACAAGGTTAAGACATTACTAGTCTTTATCAAACACAATACAAGGTTAAGACATTACTAGTCTTTATCAAACACAATACAAGGTTAAGACATTACTAGTCTTTATCAAACACAATACAAGGTTAAGACATTACTAGTCTTTATCAAACACAATACAAGGTTAAGACATTACTAGTCTTTATCAAACACAATACAAGGTTAAGACATTACTAGTCTTTATCAAACACAATACAAGGTTAAGACATTACTAGTCTTTATCAAACACAATACAAGGTTAAGACATTACTAGTCTTTATCAAACACAATACAAGGTTAAGACATTACTAGTCTTTATCAAACACAATACAAGGTTAAGACATTACTAGTCTTTATCAAACACAATACAAGGTTAAGACATTACTAGTCTTTATCAAACACAATACAAGGTTAAGACATTACTAGTCTTTATCAAACACAATACAAGGTTAAGACATTACTAGTCTTTATCAAACGCAATACACGGTTAAGACATTATTATTCTACGGAAACTGGCCTGAACAAGTTACATACTTGTTTTAAATGACGTTTGTAATGACATTATTGATATTAAACTCGCTTATTAAAATTTTAAATTTGTTTTTAAAATATCATTGATACAGATCCTCCATCTGAAGAACAACATCCACCCACAAGAGGTGGAACTGAGTGGATTCGACAGGGCCATCGACAGAATTCAGGTTAACATGGAATGGGAGCGACAGTATTATCTTATTGTTGAAAAGTGGCTGTCGACGAACGCTGCACAAAGTTTTTAAACGTTAAGGAGCTGACGACATTTTAACACTAAGTAACGAATCGTTTAGCAAAACGGTATTGTAATCCTAATAATAACGACACCCATTCCAGACTAATGTTATCATATCTAACGACTGCGGTAAACGATCTAGTTTGTGAAAGCCTCGTCCATTAACTAATTATTACGGTTCTTTGGACCAAACTTTTCCCCGTGTGTTTATAACGAATTACGCTGAAATCTTCACAATCTTTGTAGTGTTATGTATTCTTACCTGAAAGCGACGACAATAATGTAAAATTAGGACAGATATATGCATTAATTTGTCATTTTGATTGTTTCGTTTTTTAATTAATTAAATATGATTTTTTTACGTCACACCTGTATCAACTTATTTTTAAGATCCCTGTCTGAATTACACAAATGTAGATAGTCAAAATTGAAATGACGTCACTAGTTCATGTCTGCCACGTAAACGAAATAAGTTAATGGCCCAGAGGTGCCCAATAGCACCTTTAATCTATATTATTCAAGCTGAACCCATGACATGTTCTACCAGGAAAAATGCTTCAATAAAAGGAATTAAGATACCATTTAGTAACAAGGGAAAACCTGAAGCCGAAATTAATATGTTTGCTGATGATTCGCAGCTATTGGCTGGGAATGAATATTCTATTCCAATAATTTTTAGTGTTTTACACCAATATGAAAAAGTATCTGGTGCCAAAATAAATTAGAAAAAAAACTAAAGGTATGTACATAGGAACATAGAAACAGACCTAACTTTAAGAAAATTTGTTGGGTAGAAAGGGTTAAGGCTCTTGGAATAATGCATGGATATGGAATAAACTTTGATGAAATTTGAGGGAAAAGATTAAAAAGATTGAAGCAACCATACAAATCTGGAAAAATTGATATCTTACACTTAGAGGATAATAAAGTCATTAATACTTTCTATAATTAATTATGATACAACAATACCACAGAAATATAAAATTATCATAAATAAAATGATTTACCAGTTTCTATGGAACGCTAATGTAAATATAGTTGCTAAAGAAAGCTGTTATAGAGACATTAATTTTGGAGGGTTAAATATGATTGATCATGATTTAATAGTAAAGGTAGCAAAAATATATACAAGATAATTCATTCAAAGTTCAGTGTTGGAATGCATTAAGGAAAATATTGGCTTAAAAGATATGATTCTACCTTCTCACAGGAGCTCTTTACATGTAAATGTAGTACTACAAAATCATTAGCATTAAATCGTATTCCACAGTTTTATAAGGTCTCTCTCGAATGTTGACAGGTCATAATAAAACGCCGTCCATTAAAGACAAAAAACTAAATACTCAATCATAGGATATTTGGAAACACCAATATAACATTCAGAAAAGATCCTGTTTTCTTTAAAAATCGAACTAAATCAAATATAACAAAAATAAAAGATAAATGGAATGAAGAAAGAAAGGATTTTATTAATTTACAAGAATTATGTTATTCAAGGATAACTGGATATCAGAATTCTCCATTGTAAAGAAAGCAATTTCGTCATGTGGCAATTGGATACAAGAGCTTAAATCAAGAAATCAAGAAATACCAATAACGGAACCAATAACTTTAACAGAAGAATTATATATTAAAACAAATCAAAACAACGAAATAATACAACCAACAAAGTTAACAAATAAAACTATAAAAGTATTAGTTTTGGATACAAACTATTATACCAAATCACAAAATACCTGGGATACAGTATACCAAGATGACATAAATTGGGTAAAGATTTGGATTTCGGTAAGTAGGTCTATAGCAAATAGGAAATGTAGCGATTTCCAATGGAAATGTTTGCATAATATTATTTCTACTGAGGCAAAATTATTGAAAATGAAAATGTCTCGTGGATTATGTACATTTTGTCATTTACATGATGAAACTCAAATTCACCTATTCTACCCGTGTTATAAAATTCAACATATTTGGAAGACAATCGAATCATGGATCAACAAAGTTTTGGGTTAAATATATCACCCAAATCAAATGTTTCATATAAGTGAGAAAGGTGTTATATTTGGAAGTTGTGATCCAAGAAATGAATATAATGTGATAATAAATTTGTTTGTTTTTACTATAAAGTGGCAGATATGGAAAGAAAAAAAATAAAATAAAATTTAATGTTGAGTATGACGTGAATGACTTGATAAAACACATTCTAAAATGTGTAAGACAAGAAATTGTTTTAATGATAGATGCATTGCAGAAAAGTGAAAGACATCGATACTTAGGGGAAGTTTTAAAGAGAACTTTCGAAAATGGAAAGAGCTGAAAGCAGAAAAAAGAGTGACAATTGAAAGGAAACAAATAAATAAAAGATAATTGATGCGATAGGAGAGTGATAGTTTAAAGAGAAAGAGTGTGTTGGAAAATATATGTATATTTAACTTGAAATAAAAAAAAAAAATAAGTTAATGGCCGACTAAAACAATCATTTTGAAGTCCCCGGTTAGTACTATTATAAAAATGGAAATGCACGTGTTGAACACATTTTCTTTACATTATATGATGAAGATCGTATGGTGACAGGAGAGTTTCGAGGTCAATGGAAAATACCATATGATAAATTCTCGGTTCAATGTTACAGAGATCGAGCTCTTTTCATCTCTTTGGGGATTTATCTCCCTCAATAACAGATAAACTAGTGTCGACCAGACTTACAGGAGTAGAATGGATCAGAGTTACCAGGCAGGATCAAGTCAACAGAAATATCACATTTAACCTTGTTTCTGTAAAGGATATAATTGCTCTAACAACTGGACATCACGAATATCGAGCTTTTATCCTGAGGTGGATGGGAATGAACAATAGTCGAGCAGAATTGGAGAGCTGGATGGGGACGATAAGTCATAGTGAAAGTCCAGTCAACAGTAAACTGGACGGGGACGACAAGTCATAGTGAAAGTCCAGTCAACAGTAAACTGGACGGGGACGACAAGTCATAGTGAAAGTCCAGTCAACAGTAAACTGGACGGGGACGACAAGTCATAGTGAAAGTCCAGTCAACAGTAAACTGGACGGGGACGACAAGTCATAGTGAACAGTAAACTGTGAAATTCAGTATAAGTATATTCTAGGGTCGGTGTTGACAGCCTAAATACTTAATTGAAAATATGTGCTAAGATGATCTTACTTGTATGTAATCACTAAGTGGATTTAGTGGTGATAGCACTTTTATTTTTCTTTATCAATTTGGAGTTTAAGTTGACGCCGCCGCTTATGCTTTCGCTGTGCGTCCCACGCGATACTAAAACCGGCGCAAATCTTGTGATTGACGCAGTTATTAAGGACTTGTATAGGTCTCATCTTGCTATAAATTATTGTAACTATGACAGATCTCTATCCTGTATCACCAATTCACCGGTGTCACGACGTTTTACTATTTAATAGCCAAATTGTTTTAGTTCATTTTCCGATACATGAATTTTATACTCTTGGCCAAATTCAGGGAATCTTTTTAACTGTACTCATATAATACTAAAGATTAAATTATCCATATACTTGAAGATTGGCTCTGTACAATTCAGTGCCTATACGGTCTATCTTTCAGACTTCAGGTATTGGGAAGTTACGGTCATCAACGTGATCTCATTGAGAAATATTTTATATCTTTGTGTGATATGAGGCTGTACGTATTGGATGTTTGTTAGTTTGCTTGTTGGTTCCGTTGTTCATCCTAGTCGATGTAGCAGAAGACGTTTACTCTTCTGGATTTTGTACATAGGTTTACTATAACACTATGGTCACTTCCGTTTCCTTATTCAGGGACGTATAATATTATATATCTTAGCCTTGTTGGACAAAATGACACTCTAATGAGGTGACCAATGTAGTAGAATTTAGATTTTGCTCGATTTCGTGGTTTGGGAGACTTGCATCATAAATGGCCCTTGTTATAAGGTCAAATAAAACTGTAATGTTTATGGATTTTCCTTTAAAATAATATATAAGCATTTTTTAGTGAAGCCATACAACCATCAGCTCAAAATGGTAGGTTGAGAGGACTTTTGTTAACACTTGGGATTAATACTATAAAATTCTATCAGTAATCTAACTGATATACAAAGCCATTCCACGAGGGTATCCTTCAGTATGAAATAAGCACTGTCACAGAGTACATTGTTAATCAAATTGTGCTAGCTTTAAGACAGTTTCTATACCACATTAACCGATGCTTTCAGGAAATTTACATATATCGGGATTTTTATATCAACATGTCAACATGGTCATAATCCAAACACAAATTCAATAAACCTAGAGCAAATTATGAACAGAACAAAAATTTACACGAATACTTATGAAAGAGTACAAGGAGAAGAAGACCAGGTGTTCCTGAACGGCAAGCGTCATTTGCTTTATCGACGACACTCACCATGTAAACCTTAGTCAGTCAAAGTAAATAATGCTACGTTCTCAAATGAGAACAAGTTATACCGAAACGGAACCAACGGGCAAACTAACGAGCGTCAAAGACGTCTAACTGAAGCTAGATTTCTGGTAGGAATTTTATTGGAGACGTAAATGTTAAAGAAATTTTCTTTTCGAACACGACCTGTAAAATGTTTATGTAATAGAACGCACCCAGTTGGCCGGAAGTGAAATAGAGTTATCGAACCTATGTGTAGGTAAGACAGGAGCCGATTTCCATCATACCTGATCAGACAATACATATATTGCATACCACACTGCACCTTTATATCGTTATGCGCAGTTACTATGCATTGCGAAGGTTTATGTTATTCTTGTCGTGTAAGTTGACAACAAGATCGTACATTAGCATACATTGATATGTCTGAGCACAAATATGGATATTCAGAAGATTCCGACAGTATATCCGCATCTATCAACCGCATTTCAGTCTTTGTCGGACACAAATATTTTATGAATATTAATCAGTTCATAAAAAACACAAATCAGAATTTATTGGTTTTCTTAAAACACTTTAGTGTATCTGAAATTTCCTCTTTAATCTGACCAATGTACCCGAAAAAAAACCTACTCCCATCGTTACATATGGATTAACAGGACTATGTGAGAGTAGTTAGTTAGTGCATTTTAGTACATATGATACAGTATTTTAACCTTAGACAATGATACAGAGCACTTTGTAAGGGATGTATAATACAGAGGGATGAGAAACTGTTTGTACCTCGTCGACATTCTAGAGCGAAGAAGTTCCAGTAAATCAGCTTTCGTAAAACACAAACGGAAATTTCCGAAATGAACAATAGTAGAAAGCTCAATAATTTTCAAAATAATTGTAACTTTTATTAGAAATAATTCATCTCTTCACTGGTTGATATTTATAAAACAAAATGCACGTTTAAGGGATGCATGTTTCAGCTATTTACAGAGACGTATATAACACATATACGTCTCTGCTATTTACAACTGAAATATCACCCTATATTGTTTATCATGTTCAGTCTACAGGAAGAGGAAAATCATATTTAAACAGAAATCATTTAAAATCTAAGTAATTCTCCAATTGACTGGTGCCAGTTTGTGATAATTCACTCAAATTTATTATTGTTACAAAAATGAGATTGACTTTTTACTAACGAAAAAAATTGCTCTTGTCAGGACAGCCTGCATAGAAGTAAATGAGGCATACATATTGTATATACATGTAGGTATTGTAGATAGATGTGGAAGAAAGGATTTTACGACTTGGTGCACAAACATGAAAGCTTATACCAGAGAAGTCAACAATGTGCCTAGTTTCTTATTTCCCTATAGTATTCATACCTGCTGTATTAATTCATGATTTTGTTTTTCTTATTGTAGAAAGTTTTGTGGTAAATATGCAGTTACTAATAGGACCTGAACATTGATTTTCTCCTTGCCTGCAAGCCTAGATAAGATGTCTGAGACTAAAAAGCATGGAGGTGTGAAGGGAGAAGTTGAATCACCAGTTAAAAAGGATAAGACACTTGCCGTTATAGAAGATAAAGATGATTTTATTCATCGTTTCCGTACACTTTACAATTCGGAAATATTCAGTGACATTGTGCTTGTAGTTGGAGACCAACGGTTCTATGCCCATAAAATTATGCTTGTCACAGCAAGTGAAGTGTTTGAGTAAGTGTTATTCAGACCAAAAAATATAGTACATGACATGTTTCTTTGAACCCAACTGACCAAATATTTTTGACAATTTTCAAGCAAGAACTGATAAAGGCAAGATTTCCCTTTATAGATATTCATGTATATCTGTAGTTAAAGTTGTGTAAAGAAGAAGATTTCCTGACCAGCTGGACCATGTTTTTTTCAGACATGCTATTGGAAATCCGCTTTCACTTGCATAGGTTTTTTTTATATCTTAAACCATGAAAATTTAAAACTTGCTAATCATAAATCCAAATAATTCTGACTCTCTGCATAAACATTTTATTTCTGAAGACATATACTAAACATTGGTGGAAAAGTAGAAATATTTGAAATAAAAGAAAACATTTTGTGATGATGATTTAAAATATTGCGTTGAAAATGTTTTCCTGTGCATGTATACTTGCTTGGATACTGCTGTTTCTGACAGTTCATTATATTAAAGACTTAAAATTATTAATCTTGTACTGCAGTTATCATGTAGTTGTAGATATCCTAGTAATTATGGTCAAAAAAATTTAATTTTGACAAATGTTGTCAGACAATAGCTGATAGATTTGAAAGATTGGTAAGTTTGTTTTTATTGTATGCGTGGTGTCTTTTATATTCTGTACCCCCTCTGGTTTGTAGAGCTATGCTCAGTGAGGCAAGATGGCAGGAATCTAATCAAAATGAAGTCTGTCTCACAGAAGATGAAGAATGTGTGTCAGTGTTTCCAGACTTTCTTAAGTAGGTATATAAAAAGATGTAAAAATACACCATGTATAACATTTTTATCTGTTTCTTACATTGCACAAAAGTGATATGATTAAAGCACACACACACAAAAATGCAATATATTTTTCTAGTCATTATATTTTTCAAGTCACTCCATTCTGATCCATGACTAAAATCTCCTATCTGCATCACTTAATTAAGTTGGTATGAGTCAAGACATGCGCTGCTTTTTTATCACTGAAGGTCAAGGTAATAGTAAGGTGATGTTTCCGTCTTTGTGCATCAGAAAAAATATGAAATAAAGACTAAAAACACATTACTTTGTGGATATATTAAATATTGACTGATGAAGATTGAAGTTTTCACAATTGACAGATTTTCACAAAGACTAGACATATATTTGAATGCATATTTAGGAACATATTTGCATCAATATATCTAGTTTTTTCACAGGTATATCTACAGTGGCTCAGTAGAGTTGACAACATCAATGGTCCACAAGTTACTGATTCTGGCTGATAAGTATGGTATACACGTCCTACACAAAACATGTGTGGAGTACATGTCACGTCACATTGTCACATCTCCAGATACCAATCGCACATTAACCTGGTACCACTATGCCAAGATAACCAATGGCCAACACTTACAAGAGAAGTGTTTAGCATTCATCCTGTCAAACTTCAGCATTATCCAGCAGGCTCCTGACTGGTTAGATCTGTCAGCATCAGTAATGGTGGAATTTTTACAGAGTTCTGAGATTGTTGTGGAGAGTGAATATCAACTGTGGGTGGAAGTTGAACGATGGATAAAGGCTGTGGAAGATCCAGATATTGTATTGGAGAAATTAAAAGCAGTTCTTCCTCATATGAGGTTTACCATGATGGCCCCAAGCGACCTGCTGAAGATAGAGACTTCTGATATTTATAACGAATACACTGAACTGTTCGGAAACCGACTGATGAAAGCTTACAGAGGTCATTCACTTCACACAAGTGATCTAATGGGTCACACTCGTGAGGAGCCCTATCGTAATTACTATCACAAACTGTACGGTATCGGTGATGACCTCAAGTTACGTAACTACATAGAAACACCAAAGACTGAAAGCCATCTGGTAACTACTATGTTAGTACCAATACACTTAAAGCCATTTCCTGTACAATCTAGAGAAGACGACTCTCTGTCTTTTGATGTTGCCTTTTACCCTCAAGGATTCTACCAGGCACATCCACTGTATGGAATGTACATGTCTCGTCAGAATGATGATACTGTACTGAACGTTTCCCGCAGTTCTACTTCCTCCCAACATGTTGTGGATGTAGACATCACCCTGGTTATCTACGCCTACAGAGACAACATGAAGTACACAGCCCACAGTTGCAGGGTGTCCCACCAATTCAGCAGTAAGTCCCGTCATTGTAAGGTAGAGAATGTGATCCCTGTTGAGAACTTAAAGTCTAAAAAGTCACCATATCTAGTGGGAAAACATTTTGAGGCAAAAATTTTCTTGAAGATCCAAAATATTCAACTGGAAGAAAAGGAGAAGAAAGAATAGTGAAAATTAGTAGACAGAGATTGGTTTCCGAGGTAACAATATTGAATGGTTTCCAAGGTAACAATATAGAATGGTATCCAAGGTAACAATGTAGATTGGTTTTCAAGGTAACAATTCAGAATATTAATGGTTCCCACAATAATAACGTAAGATGAAATAACTTAAAGAATTAAAATTTGTCAAAATGTATTCTTTCAGAAATTGTTGATGAATTTGACAGCAATAAATGTACAATATTCATTTCATGATATGGAAACCAAGATAATGTATATATGTCCAAAACATGTGAAATATTACTGTTTCAGATTTGATGCTCACTACTGCCTAGTTTTCTTTTTTGATTTCTATTTCATTTCATCAGTGGTAACTCCACTAGATCAAATAACACATAAATACTCGTAATAATGAAAAATGATGTAAAGTGTGTTATAACATAGATAACTGCGTAGCTACATTTTAGATATGTTTTGCTTTGATTTGGGAATTGCTTTCATGCATATACATATAGTTACTCTTGTTTATATTTTTTTTTTTTTTTTTTTGAACATTTTGTACACTGAAGACATGTTGTTATGAAAGAGATCATGAAATCTGTAATTGGTTGATTGTCCAGTAATCTTACATAAAACCAGAATTCACTGCTGTTTCCAGTGTTTCCATTTTGTTGTCAAGACTAGCAACAATTGATGGTTAATTTATATGTGATTAATTGTGTTATATTAGTGTTAAAAATATCAAAATTATTTTTGGTCATGGTTGTTTTTTACTTGTACTGTAGGAAATATATTGCTTGTAATGACTACTTGTACTGTAGGAAATATATTGCCTGTAATGACTACTTGTACTGTAGGAAATATATTGCCTGTAATGACTACTTGTACTGTAGGAAATATATTGCCTGTAATGACTACTTGTACTGTAGGAAATATATTGCCTGTAATGACTACTTGTACTGTAGGAAATATATTGCCTGTAATGACTACTTGTACTGTCGGAAATATATTGCCTGTAATGACTACTTGTACTGTAGGAAATATATTGCCTGTAATGAATACTTGTACTGCTTGTTTTATATTATGTATTCCAGGTTGTTACTAGATTTTTGCTAAATTTTACATTTTTTGTTTGCAATATATTTATTGTTTATTTGGTTATGAATTGTTTACAGATATACACGTTTATTATTGGAATCAATGTTATATAACTGATGTGTTAATATGATTGTCTTATTTCTCTTGCCAATGTGACAATGGAATGACTATTGATTGTTTTCTCTGCAAAGTTCTAGTATACAGTACAAGTGTAAAAAATCACATTTTTCTTTGTATAAAATAATGAAAGCATATTGTAACAATGACAAGGTTTTATTATCAGGTTTCTTCAGTTTTGGACACACGACAGTGTTCCCTGGTATACAAAGTAACATCAATCCCAGTATGTTAGGATTTGACACACGACAGTGTTCCCTGGTATACAAAGTAACATCAATCCCAGTATGTTAGGATTGGACACACGACAGTGTTCCCTGGTATACAAAGTAACATCAATCCCAGTATGTTAGGATTGGACACACGACAGTGTTCCCTGGTATACAAAGTAACATCAATCCCAGTATGTTAGGATTGGACACACGACAGTGTTCCCTGGTATAAAAAGTAACATCAATCCCAGTATGTTAGGATTTGACACGCGACAGTGTTCCCTGGTATACAAAGTAACATCAATCCCAGTATGTTAGGATTGGACACACGACAGTGTTCCCTGGTATACAAAGTAACATCAATCCCAGTATGTTAGGATTTGACACACGACAGTGTTCCCTGGTATACAAAGTAACATCAATCCCAGTATGTTAGGATTTGACACGCGACAGTGTTCCCTGGTATACAAAGTAACATCAATCCTAGTATGTTAGGATTGGACACACGACAGTGTTCCCTGGTATACAAAGTAACATCAATCCTAGTATGTTAGGATTGGACACACGACAGTGTTCCCTGGTATACAAAGTAACATCAATCCCAGTATGTTAGGATTTGACACGCGACAGTGTTCCCTGGTATAAAAAGTAACATCAATCCCAGTATGTTAGGATTGGACACACGACAGTGTTCCCTGGTATAAAAAGTAACATCAATCCCAGTATGTTAGGATTGGACACACGACAGTGTTCCCTGGTATAAAAAGTAACATCAATCCCAGTATGTTAGGATTGGACACACGACAGTGTTCCCTGGTATAAAAAGTAACATCAATCCCAGTATGTTAGGATTTGACACGCGACAGTGTTCCCTGGTATACAAAGTAACATCAATCCCAGTATGTTAGGATTGGACACACGACAGTGTTCCCTGGTATAAAAAGTAACATCAATCCCAGTATGTTAGGATTTGACACGCGACAGTGTTCCCTGGTATACAAAGTAACATCAATCCCAGTATGTTAGGATTGGACACACGACAGTGTTCCCTGGTATAAAAAGTAACATCAATCCCAGTATGTTAGGATTGGACACACGACAGTGTTCCCTGGTATAAAAAGTAACATCAATCCCAGTATGTTAGGATTGGACACACGACAGTGTTCCCTGGTATAAAAAGTAACATCAATCCCAGTATGTTAGGATTGGACACACGACAGTGTTCCCTGGTATAAAAAGTAACATCAATCCCAGTATGTTAGGATTTGACACGCGACAGTGTTCCCTGGTATAAAAAAGTAACATCAATCCCAATATGTTAGGATTTGACACGCGACAGTGTTCCCTGGTATAAAAAGTAACATCAATCCCAGTATGTTAGGATTTGACACGCGACAGTGTTCCCTGGTATACAAAGTAACATCAATCCCAGTATGTTAGGATTTGACACGCGACAGTGTTCCCTGGTATACAAAGTAACATCAATCCCAGTATGTTAGGATTTGACACACGACAGTGTTCCCTGGTATAAAAAGTAACATCAATCCCAGTATGTTAGGATTTGACACGCGACAGTGTTCCCTGGTATACAAAGTAACATCAATCCCAGTATGTTAGGATTTGACACGCGACAGTGTTCCCTGGTATACAAAGTAACATCAATCCCAGTATGTTAAGATTGGACAAGCGACCATGTTCCCTGGTATTCAAAGTAACATCAATCCTAGTATGTTAGGATTTGACACACGACAGTGTTCCCTGGTATACAAAGTAACATCAATCCTAGTATGTTAGGATTTGACACACGACAGTGTTCCCTGGTATACAAAGTAACATCAATCCTAGTATGTTAGGATTTGACACACGACAGTGTTCCCTGGTATACAAAGTAACATCAATCCTAGTATGTTAGGATTTGACACACGACAGTGTTCCCTGGTATACAAAGTAACATCAATCCTAGTATGTTAGGATTTGACACACGACAGTGTTCCCTGGTATACAAAGTAACATCAATCCCAGTATGTTAAGATTGGACAAGCGACAGTGTTCCCTGGTATACAAAGTAACATCAGTCTATATGAACAATTGAACTTGAACATCATATTTTAATTACATTTTCTAAATGATCATTTATGTTTTGAAGTCTTCAATCATCAGTCAAGCTGTGAATCCTAAAACCTGACAAAAGGAATATTTAACATGTGATATAGAGAATGATTATAGAGGGATCTGTGTAAGAATTTCTTATGTGTATAAACTAGTCAGATATGTAAGGCATTGACTTGATAACAAGTAGGACAAAATCTGGATGAGATGTGACACTGGAAATTGTTAATATGAGGCACATATTGCTCTACAGTATGGTTGTAGGTGTTTGGACCAGTCAGTCCTGGACTTGCTGCTGAAGAAAAAGCCAAGTCCCAAACAAAATAGGCAGTCCCAAATCAAATTTCTGAGTCCATCACAATCAGACAGTTACTTATATGAAGATTGAGAGAGCATGCTGTTACACAAGTCAATATTTCTTTTTTATGAAAACAGGATGAATTTTGTATTTCCAAATTTACACATAAATCATGATTAGGATGAAGGTAAAAAATTCTCCTTTTAAATTTGCATGCAATACATGCTTTGAGACCTTTTAGTCAAATTGCGACATTGTCTACTTTTAAAAACTTGCTAGTTTTTATAGCCCTATAACATGCATTGCTCTTACCATGTACAATATATGTATATATGAAATTATTTTATTATGCTCCCTGAAGGGAGAGCATATAGTCGCCACTTTGTCTGTCTGTCCATTCGTCCATGTCCATCCATCATAATTTTGTCTTGAGCATAACACAAAAACTGTGAGAAGTATCAACATGAAAGACAGATCTCGTTAAGGAGAAACGTAGTGCACAAGAACCATAACTCTTTTTCATAATTTAGAAGTAATTGTCCTTTGTTATTTTTCATACTTAAGTTTTGTTCCATTCGGGGAACATAACCACTCTCTGACAAATACAGGCTTTAGGACAATAACTATACAGGCTTTAGGACAATAACTATACATCCTTTAGGACAATAACTATACAGGCTTTAGGACAATAACTATACATACTTTAGGACAATAACTATACAGGCGTTAGGACAATAACTATACATCCTTTAGGACAATAACTATACAGGCTTTAGGACAATAACTATATATACTTTAGGACAATAACTATACAGGCTTTAGGACAATAATTATACATACTTTAGGATGAAAAAATACATAGGACAATAATTTCATTTACTCGATGATGTATTGTTTAGATTTACTACCAATTGTATTGACATTTAGTAATATTTGTTGTGAACAATGTTCATGTTGATAAACATATTTTGAGATTTTTTACCGTTTATCTTATAGATAATTATAAGAACATGTTATAATTATCATATTTGTATTTTTATTGTGCTAACTGTATTTATTCTACGTCCATTGTCTGCCATCAATGCACGTGCTATATAATATTGTTATTGTGTTAGATATTGTAATCTAGTCGTAATTTATTTATATACAATAAAAACCTGTATCTAAACCTACCAACAATGTCGCATATTTTTACTTCTAAAGAAATTTTGTTCCCTATACACGTTAATAACAGAAATGGTAATTTTATGTCAGATCTCATGGTTTCATTTCAATCATATGCTTGACTGAGGTATTCAATAACAACAGTACAACACAGACCTGTAGATAATAGATTATCACCTGTTCAATAACAACAATACAACACTGACCTGTAGATAATAGATTATCACCTGTTCAATAACAACACAGACCTGTAGATAATAGATTATCACCTGTTCAATAACAACAATACAACACTGACCTGTAGATAATAGATTATCACCTGTTCAATAACAACAATACAACACAGACCTGTAGATAATAGATTATCACCTGTTCAATAACAACAATACAACACAGACCTGTAGATAATAGATTATCACCTGTTCAATAACAACAAACCTGTTCAATAACAACACAGACCTGTAGATAATAGATTATCACCTGTTCAATAACAACAATACAACACAGACCTGTAGATAATAGATTATCACCTGTTCAATAACAACAACACAACACTGACCTGTAGATAATAGATTATCACCTGTTCAATAACAACAATACAACACAGACCTGTAGATAATAGATTATCACCTGTTCAATAACAACACAGACCTGTAGATAATAGATTATCACCTGTTCAATAACAACACAGACCTGTAGATAATAGATTATCACCTGTTCAATAACAACACAGACCTGTAGATAATAGATTATCACCTGTTCAATAATAACAATACAACACTGACCTGTAGATAATAGATTATCACCTGTTCAATAACAACACAGACCTGTAGATAATAGATTATCACCTGTTCAATAAGAA